CCTCCGTGTCCTACACAGTCTTCTACATAGTGCAGAGCAGTGGGGCATATGAACAGCTTGGGGAAGCCATTGAAGGGGAAGGAGATGTGTTTCCAAAGCAAAGTTCTCCTGTTTTATTGGCATCAGAATTACTTGGAGAACTTGTTAGGAAGGCAGGCTCCCAGAACCCCCACTTCCAAATTCCTGAGTGGCAGAGAAACAGTCATGTTGGGAGGGTGAGAAATGGATTCTACCCATGGCAAAAAGATAGGAGAAGTGACAACTGGTCTAAGGAAAGATGGGTGAAAGAAAGCAGAAACACAAAGAACCACAAAATGACATACGTGGCTCATGAAACGGCCTAGCAAATAACCTCGTCAAGACAGCAGCATGTGGGCAAAGGCTTCAAAAGCCCTGATTCTCCCTGAAGTCTCTGCCCCAAAATGCCGAGTTAGTCAAAACTGTCATAAGATTCCAGAATGTTAGGTCAGACAAATGGGCCAATACACATAAAAGAGTGGCTGCTGGGAGGTAGGCCAGATGTGGTTCTGCAACACCCTTGTGGATATAGCAGCTTGGAGACGGAGGACAAGGATCCCTGAAGATCAAATAGACTGGTCCTGGTACCCCCAAACTAGAGGTAAGTTCCCTGGGTGAAATTCTGCCAAGTGCAGTGAACCCTGCCTGAATGCTTTCAACCCGGTCAGTGTCGGCTCTGGCGCTTCGCAAGCTCTTCCTGGATGCGCAATCTGAGGGCCTCTCGCATGGCTGGATCCAGAGGTGTATGTGCTGATACCTCCTCACTCACCCTTCTGGGATCGTCATCCTACACAGAGGAAGAGTCAGGAAGCTCAGAACCGGTCTCTTTCAGGAAAGTGACCTGCCCTGTCCCTAGACAGCATTCTCATAGAATTCTTTGGCTTAATGCCAAAGGAATCCCCTGTAATTAATAGTGATTCTCCATTGAGGGTGACAAGTTCTCTGGTGTCCCCCCCAACTAAGAATCACTGTGTGCTGAGGAAGTTGTACCTGATGACAATGCCCAGTAGTCCCATGTGGAAGACATGTTTTCCCACTGGCCCTGAGATAAACATGGGCTCAGGGACTGTCAGCAGTTTCCATCATAGCCCAGGACCTTCAGGCTGCAGCTGATTCCAGAAGGCGTACCTGATACACAATAACTGATGTGACCTCTCCACTGTCCGCCTCATACTCTAAGCAGAAGAGCTGGCGGCCAGGAGGCTCCAGCTCAGAGCTGCCACTACTGCTGCTTTCAGTGGACTCCTCACAGTCCGGGTTGACTAGGTGGGCAGAGACATCTGTAAGGGCAAACCAGAATGAGAGGGAAAAGGGGATGCAGCTAAAACCTCTACCCATACACATAATCAGGAAAAGAGCACCAAGAAAGCCTCCAAGCTTCCAACAGACTCTGGGTATGTATGAGCCCGTGTGCCGGGGAACTGCCAGTCAGGATTTTAACTTCCCTTTCTATCTCTACTCCAGTACAGTTCTGTTACAAAGTAGGTACAAGATGCGCATGTCTCCAGCAAATATCTCTGGGAGCTGCTGAAAGGATGGGCGGCACTCCAGGCTCTGCCATTTACTAGCTCTGAGATGTCGGACAACTTATCATTCCACCTCTTTGGACAGTGAAACAGAAGTAACAGTTTTCAGCTTATGGTGTCCTATGGACTCAACGAGTTAATGTGCTCAAGATCTGTAAATAATAGCACACAAACTTAAGTGTCATGTGTTCGTTAAAGTGAGTTCATGGTCACAGGAAAACCGGGAAAAGGCCATTTACTGAGTTCATTTCATTTCATTTACTAGCCGTTTTTGTTTTTAAAAATCTCAGCTAGATTTTCTCTCTTCCAGGTCCAGGGATATTAAAACATTGCATGACAGACCACACCACACCGTGTGATTCCTGGCCAGGTCCCATGTACCTTCAGTAAAGTGTTGCTTAACTGGGGTCACGAGCCCTGAAGCGGAGATCTGGGGGCGCTGAGGCAGTGGCTTCTGTAAGGGCTGAGACGAGAGGGGGGGCCCCTGACACGGAGAAGAGGGGGCTTGCCCAGAGGGCGGTGCTTGTCCAGGGGGCGGGGCCGCGGGTGGGCAGCAGCTCACCTCGGTGGCGAGGCAGGTACACCTGTAGGTCTGGCTTGCGGGGCCGCGTGGGTGCGGGTGTGTGGCGCCTCCTCGTCTTCTCCTTGGCCGCTTGCTTCACCTTCTTGTCGTAGTCGTCCCTGCGGGGAGCCGAGCGGGAGTCAGGCGCTTGTCACCCGGCCGAATCGGGCCGGGCCGGGCCTGGGGCAGGGCGGTACCGAGCGATCTGGTTCCGGCGGATGTGATGTACGAAGCCGTGGCTCATGTCCAGACGCCCGCCGGGCTTGCAGCATAGCCCCGGGCCTGGATCCCGTGCCGCCTCCATCAGATATTGGGCGCAGAGCTGCAGCAACCGCCACAACGGCCGCGGAACTGAAGCCGCCAGCGGCGGACCGCGACTTCCGGCTGCGGACCACGACTTCCGGTTCGATGCCCTTCTTCCGGTTGCGTAGGAGCCAGTACGGCAAAGCGTTGATGCTTTCAGAATGATCTGGTGTAGTGGAGCGCTGTTAGGGCGGGATTTTCGCTTTCTCTGTAGTATCACCAACACGAAAGAAGGATTTTATAGTTGATGTACCAGGGAATTATAAAAAATGCGAGTCATCCATGAGCACTGAAAACTATCCCTACAGATGTTAGCTTTCTTTTCTAACCTTTTAAAGTTAGTTCTTTAGTGTACAGTACGATGAGCTTCATTATGATATCAAATATATAAGTATATGTGTATCTATTTATTCGTATGTTTAAGGGCAGATGCTGTTCAAGAGGAAGTGATATTTTGTGATCCCCATCACCTCTGCTCCCTCTCCTTTCCCTTTAAACCTCCAACTTACCCTTCCAGTTCTTTCACACACACTGAGAGCATTAAATCTGGGTTCTGTATATGGGAAAAATGTGCAATACTTGCGACTCATCGTCCCAAATCTTACTGAATTCACTTAACATGATCTCTAGGTTCACCATTCCCTGCAAATGACATATTTCCATTCTTTTTGGCAGAAGAAAAGAGAAAATGTATGTGCCACTTGGTTGACTCTGATCCAACTGTGCCTAAGTTTCCTTTTGTGTGTGTGTGTTTGTGGTGTGCAGTGTATGCACGTGTGTGTGTGTGTGTGTGTGTGTTTGTGGCCAGTGGAGGATACAGGTGCTCTGGTCTGTGTTCTCTACTTGTTCTTTTGAGATAGGGTCTCTCACTGAGCCTGTGGTTAAGCTGGCAGCCATCAAGCCCATGAAGTCCTCCTGTCTTCACCTCCAAAGGGCTAGGATATAGACATGTTCAGGCCATGCCTACTGTAGATTCCCCCCCACCCCTCCAGGCAGAGTTTGTGTGTGTCGCTCTGGCTGCCCTGGAACTCATTCTGTAGACCAGGCTGGCCTTCAACTCACAGAGATTCACCTGCCTCTGCCTCCCAAGTGCTGGGATTAAAGGCGTGCACCATCACCATCCGGTTTACTATAGGCTTTTTACATGGGTGTTGGGATTTGAACTCAGATCCTCATGCTTGTACAGTAAGCATTCTCACCAGCTGAGCCATCTCCCCAGTTGCTTGCTTATTTTCTTTCTTTCTTTCTTTCTTTTTTTTTTTTGAGACAGGGTTTCTCTGTATTGTTTTGGAGACTGTCCTGGAACTCGCTCTGTAGACCAGGCTGGCCTCGAACTCAGAGATCTGCCTGCCTCTGCCTCCCGAGTGCTGGGATAAAAGGTGTGTGCCACCAACGCCCAGCTTGCTTGCTTATTTTCAAGTGGGCATACTAAGAGCATGTCTCTTATAGGTAATGAGGCAGACAAGTGCTCAGGTGGTTTTCCCCATCCATACCCAGCCCCTATTCCAGCCACACTGGTGCTGCACTGTCTCGGCCCAGATCACTTGCTTAATTGTGCCCATGGGAGGAGCCAAGGCTTTTGAGGGTCTAATAATATACAGGCATCTCTCCCTTCTTTTTTTTTCCTTCTGCTATGTAGCTCAGGATAGTCTCGACCTAATTATGTAGCTCAGGTTGGCCTTAAACTTTGGGAATCTTCCTGCCTCAGCCCGAGTGTGTGTGTGTGTGTGTGTGTGTGTGTGTGTGTGTGTATGTGTCCTTGTTTTAAAATGTGAAAACCAGGAACTCATTATTAGAACAGTGACAAACTCTAGTACAACTGTGTGATGGAATATTGCAATGCAATGTAAAGGAATAGATTGTCTATACTCCATGTGTAAAAGAGGCCAAGTTATAAAGAGTTAACACTGTATAACTCTTGAGTATAGAATTCTAGGAAATGCAGTCACCCAGTGGTTTGGGTGGGAATCCACAGGAGCACAAGGGCATTTCTGGAGTGAGACAAGTTTCTTCCCTTGATTATGGCAATGGATTCACAAGTGTTCACACATCAGAATTTAGCAAATTACACTTGTCAAACATGTGGTACTCTGTATGTCAATTATACCTCAATGGAACTGTTCAAATAGGCAGGAACTAAGGCATGCCTCAGTGGTAAAACTGTATTTGGAGTTTTATTAGCTAAACAGTAAGTGAGCCTTGCCAGAGTATTTGCAATTTTCTTATTTCAGGATCCCTCTAAATATGGTACTAATTGAAGTTCCCAGGTACAAACCTGAAAGAAGGAGATAATTTGGGAATACTGACTCTTTTTCTGTGTAGGTCATCAGAGGACATCTCTGGATTGTCATTTCGAGACACATACTGTCTTGAAGATATCTAGGGTCGAATGCCAGCTTCCTTTCTTCTACAGTCACCGTAGCCTGCGAAAGGTTTCTATCTCTTTAAGCTGTGAAGAGATGATGGGTAAAGAAGCAGTAGGCTCTCAGTTGTCTCAACTGGGCAGGTAGCGCCTAGTAGGTTCCAGCCGCTTGTATTGTCCCTCTCAGCGACTCGTAGCGAGCTGCGCGTCTGAGGCCAGCTCGGCTCCTGATTGGCCGCGTGCCTCCAGCGTGCGCGGGGCCAGCGCGGAAGCTCCTAGCCGGTGGCGGCGATGTCTAGCCGGTCTAAGCGGCAGTCTCATGGGTCCACCCGCGGGAAGCGCGAGTCCGAGTCGCGGGGGAGCTCGGGTCGCATCAAGAAGGAGCGAGACCGCGAGCGGGAGCCGGAGGCGGCGAGCTCCCGGGGAAGCCCGGTCCGCGTGAAGCGTGAAGCCGAGCCGACTGCGCGAGAGGTCCCGGCGCCTGCGCCCCTGGCCGTGAGGGTGAAGCGGGAGCGCGAGGCCGATGAGGATTCGGAGCCCGAGCGGGAGGTGCGAGGTGCGCGGGGCCGGGCCGGGTGCGCCCTCCACCCTCGCCTGCTTCTCTTCTCCTTTTTCTTTTCTTTTCTTTTTTTTTTTTTGAGACAGGGTCTTAGGAACTTGCTGTAGTAGCCAAAGATGACTTTCCTTTTGCCTTCACCTCCTGCCATTTTTCGCCTGCTTTTTACTTTTCCTTACTTTTTACGCTTCCCTGCCCAAGGTTGAATCCAGACTGGACTGTCTTCAGGAGAAGACAATTCTAATACTAAACGTTGTCACGATACATCACATGGGTTAGGTGCTCTGCTGATAGCTTTACAGATGTGCCCCTCTCCAGTTTTTGCAAAATTCCTAAGATGCAGGGTCCTGTTGTAATATCTGGAATAAGCTCGTTCAGCCGAGATCTCTGTGCACCCGGTTAAAATACTGTCTGTATTAGTTCAGTAGTTTGGAGTCAGTTCTGCTTCTCCTGAATTTTACAGGAGGTTGTTGTAGAGGTTCTGTATTGTTTTGTCAAAGATGTTGATATAGTGACCAGCCTTGGGAGACATTGTGTTATTCTGTAGAGCTAAAGGGACTCAAACTCACAAGCAGATAGGATTCTCTTAAGGGCAAGATTCTTCAATAAGGCAATCCAGTTTGAGCACTGGCTCTTTTTCTATTCTCTTGTGTGAGTTGAATCCAGGAACTGGCGAAGATGTCATGTTATTGGCTACTGTTATAGACTCTTTGTTTTAGTCAGTGATCACATGCCTTCCATCAGTGTTCATTAACTCTCAGAACTGTGACAATTCTTGGGCAAATGGTAGATTTAAGACGTTCAGCTTATCTTAATACTTGTGATATATTATTGGGTTTTGTTTTGTTTTGAGACAGGGTTTCTTTGTGTAGCTTTGGCAGTTCTGGAACTCGCTCTGTAGACCAGGCTGGCCTCCAACTCACAGAGATCACCTGCCTCTGCCTCCTGAGTGCTGGGGTTAAAGGTGTGAGTCACCACCACTCAGTACCTCATTAGATATTTATGTATAGCATCTTTTTGTTTTGTTTTGTTTTTCGGCGCAGGGTTTCTCTGTGTACCTTTGGAGCCTGTCCTGGAACTTGTCTGTAGACCAGGCTGACCTCGAACTCACTGAGATCTGCCTGCCTTTGCCTCCCGAGTGCTGGGATTAAAGACTATAGAAGCCACTGCCTGGCTATTTACAGGGTTTTAATAAATAACGTTGGCTGGCCCAGAACTTTCTCTATAGATCTCAAACTCACAGATTTCTCCTGTCTTTCCCTCTCAAAGGCTAGGATTAATGGTGTGTGCGCCACCATACATTGTGGGGGGAAAAAAAGGTTTAGTACATTTATTTATATATGTGTGTTGCATATACCATGGTGTACATGTGGAGGTCAGAGGGCACTTTGTGAGAGTTCTCTCTTGCTACCTTGAAGGTCCCAAGAATTGAACTCCGGTAATTAGATTTGGTGACAAGCTGTCTCACTTGCCTGGATTATGTAATAATGTGAATTAATCTCTTGTTAGTTATATGTGTAATAGATCTACTCTCAGTTTGCATCCTTTGAATATTGTCACTACAAAAAAATTAAAAGCTCATCTTAATCTTAGTTGATCAAATTTTCCCATTTCCATGGGAAATAGCAACAAACAACAAAATGTACCTGTGATTTGAGTAATCTGTTGTTCTCCATTTATGATGCTGTGTAAGAGCAAATCTTGCCCTTGCTAATTAAGTGCTCTACCACTGGGTTACATCCCAGCACAAGTTTTCCATTTTAAAGTCTGTGATGGATTTCTTCTCAGCAAAGAATGGCCGAGTGGATTCTGAGGATCGGAGGAGTCGTCACTGCCCATACCTGGATACCATTAACAGGTCAGTGATATGGAGAGGATGAGGAAAAGTCTTGGCTATGTCTCAGCAGTGGAGTACTTGGCCTGACTTTTCAGAGGCCCAAGGTTTAACTTCCAGTACCATACAAACAAATCAGTAAATTTTGAGATACAGACTGTAGTAAAAATGTAGAAAAATTTCCGAACTCAGCAGTGAACAATTCATTCAAACTTTCCTCCTTTTAAGCCTTTCTGCCTTGAAAATGGTGCTTCTTGCCATGGTCTTCCATGTTGTCCCTTTAAAATGGTGGAATGAGTTAGTTTGTTATGTCTCTGGCTTTCCTAGAACTCAGTCTGTGACCAGGCTGCTGGGGTCACAGACATGTGACACCAATGCCTGGTGAGTGAGCTACTTACACACTAAGAGCTATTAGCTAATTCTGAATTTGTGTTTTGTAACTAAGGGATACATGGTGTATCTGAATTTACAGTAGGAAACTGAAGTATTTATTGAATCCACACCACTTATTGGGTTATCTAGATTTTCAGAATCCAACAAACAAAATATAATTTTTTTCTTTGTTAATGAAGTAGAGTTGGGGTTTGAAGATATTTTAATATCTGCTTAAGCACAGGGTTAAGGGAAAGAGGTGCTCATAAGAAAATAAGACATATCTAAGAGCATGGCTGTGAGATTCTCAAAGAAGAGTTGCCAAGACTTTTATTATTTCAAGATCTAGTTATTTATGTATATGTGTGTTCTTTCACAAGTTAATGTGCATCCTGTGTGTGCAGGCGCCTGTGGAAGCCAGAAGAGGGTGATAATTCCCTTGGACGTGAACTTGAGGGTGGTTTTGAGCTGCCTCGTGTGGGTGCCAGGAACTGAACTTCAGTTGTCTGCCACAGTAGCAGTTGCTCTTAACTACTGAGCCGTCTCTCCAGTACCCCTGTTTTTTTTTTTTTTTTTTTTTTTGTTATAGCAGAGATAGTCCCCTTATCCTGTATTTTCTTTGATTTCCAGTTGTTCACAGCCTATCTTCTAGGATAGTGGTGTCCAATAGACTCCTCCACAACAGAATTGCATTAAAATGTTTGTTTTTTGAGACAAAGTCCTGATATATAGCCCAGGCTGACATTGAATTCTCGATCCTCTTACCTCAGCTCCTAAGTGCTGGGGTTACAGGTGTGCCCCATCAATTCCACTAGTAATTGCTCTTCATAAGGACTGTGGGAACCACAGACTACACGTGGCTCTTGAGGATTTGAAATATGCCTTTAGCAGTTGCAGCACTGATTTCTTAGTTTCTTTGTTGTGCTAGAAATCAAATCCAGGACATTCATGCTGGACATGCTTTACCACTGAGCTATACTTCTGCCCATTTTTAATTTAAAGCTTAGTTATCAATAACCATTTGTAGCTAAATAGTCCTTCAGCAATGCAACTATTAATATTTACTATTAAATCTTTTTCACAGTTGTGGATTCAGTGGACATAAAAGACTTTTTTGTTCTTTTCTGCTCAGCAGTCACATAACTGTTGTTTTGTGCTTGCACGTGCGCTCTCTCTCTCTCTCTCTCTCTCTCTCTCTCTCTCTCTCTCTCTCTCTCTCTCTCTCTCTATCTCTCTTTTGTGTGTGCTAGGGTCTTATGCTTGCTGGGCAAGTGCTCTGACACTGAGCAAAAACCCCCAACCACTTCCCATTAATTATTTATTTGTTTGTTTGGTTTGGTTTTTGATACAGTGTTTCTCTGGGTTACAGCTCTGGCTGTCCTGGACTGAAACTCACAAGAGATCCTCCTGCCTCTGCCTCCCAAGTGCTGGGATTAAAGACGTGAGCCACCACTGCCTGGCCATTCCTTTTTTTTGAGCAAAAATAAAATGGGTCTCACTTTGTAGCCCCAACTGGCCTGGAATGCAATGTGCAGACTAGACTGGTCTCAGACTGATAGACATCCACCTGCTTCTGCCTCATGAGTGCTGGAATTAAAGGTATGTGTCATCATGCCTGGCAGAAGTTTTTGTTTCTAAAAGGGTGTGTTCACACTTTATGTCCTCTCATTCTCTCAGGGCTGTTGGGTTCTTATTTTAGTCCTATTTGTTGCTTTCCCTGCAAAGAATATAACTATAAAAAGGAAGGTTCTTTTTTTGTCTTTGACATCTTACTGTATAGTCTAGGCTGATCTGGAACACTGTGTAGCTGTAGCTGTCCTCAGATTTGCAGTCTTCCTGACTCAGTCTCTGAAGTGCCAGGGTTACAGAAGTGAGCCACTCTGAAAAGATTGTCCCTGATATCCATGGGAGGAGTGCAACCAAGATTCCCTGATGCATGCCAAAATTGGGCTGTTCAAGTTTTTATGAACAGTGGGTTGATATTTACATATAATCTATGAGTATCCTGTTGCTTTAAATTATCTGAGGTTACAAATCCAAAAAACAGGGCCAGTGCTACATAAAATAGTTGTCATTTTGGGGATAATGGCCAAAGGGGGAAAAAAGTCCATTTGTGTATAGTGCAGGTGTTTATTTTTCCCGAACATCGATCCACAGTTGTTGAATGTAGTGAAAAAGTGTGTCGTGGGCATTTGTGTTTGAGGCAGACACTTTGAGCCTGCTTTGGGGGTGTGCTGGGTATGTAGGTGTTTTTTTGTTGTTGTTGTTGTTGTTTTGAGACAGGGTTTCTCTGTATTGTTTTGGAGGCTGTCCTGGAACTCGCTCTGTAGACCAGGCTGGCCTGGAACTCACAGAGATCCTCCTGCCTCTGCCTCCCGAGTGCTGGAATTAAAGGCGTGCGCCACCAACGCCCGGCTGGGTATGTGGTTTTATGTTGTTGCTGAAGCATTCTCTTAAGGATATGTGTGGCTTGTAGAGCCAACACCACCCTGTCTCTGTTCATTTTTCCTGTGTTCTGTGTTCCAGGAGTGTGCTGGACTTCGACTTTGAGAAACTCTGCTCTATCTCCCTCTCACATATCAATGCGTACGCCTGTCTGGTGTGTGGCAAGTACTTTCAAGGTAAGTAAATGGCACGAATGTTAAGAATGTTAGACATGTTAAGTTTGTGAAGCTTTTTTTTTTTTTTTGGAAGTTAAGTTATTCTTGGGAACCATGTTTAGTAATTCCTGTCTTTGTTCCCAGGAAATTGGAGGTTTTCTCCTTTGTCAGAGTTGAGCACATCTGAAAGGGAGAAAGTTAGTCCTATGAAAAAAGACTAGATCTCCAGGCAATGAGTTTCTAAGTTTCTCCCCCCACACCCCTTTGGTACTGGGCATGGTTCTCAAACATGCGAGTACTCTACCTCTGAGCTGCGTACCCAGCTCCTGGGTTTGTGAGTCTAATGTTTTATGTTTTGTATCTTTGTTGTTTTGAGATGGGGTCTGAGTATGTGGGTCAGGCTTGTCTTGAACTTGAGCCTCCTCCCCTGTGCTTTCTCATGTGGGATTTGCAGGTGCTCCCCATCACCATCTCCTGAGAATATTCACTAAGTTCTTATCTAAAAATGTATTATTTAGACCAAAAGAGTAATGTGTACACACATAGTATATATACTGGGGAAGTGTAAAAAGAGAAGCCACAGTTCTTGATTTTGTAGGGAGCTTATGTGAAGTCAAGGTTGACACACAAAAGAATCAGAAAATCCCACAAGAAGTCAGGGTTGACACATAAAACAACCAGAAAATCCCACAAGACCTTAATGATTTCTTCTAGACTGTATAGCAATGAATAAAACTGAACAGAAGATAGTCAAATATGTGAAGGCCAGTTTTTCCTCCCCCTTTGATATTTTATGACAGTACCTCAGTATGTAGCCCTGATTGGCCTAGGACTCACTATATTGGCCTAAATGGCTTGAGTTTTTCTCAGTTCACCTGTCTCTTGTCATCTAAGTGCTGGACTTATAGGTGCTGTCACCATGCCTGTCCCCAAAGTCAATTCCTAAAAACTTATTACATTACATTAAGGTTATTATTTTTAAGTATGTATGTGGATATTTGTGGGTGCATTTGTGAGCTTGTGTAGAAGTCAGCGGACAGCTTTGGGAGTTACTTCTCTTTCCACCATGTGGGTTCCGAGGACTGAACTCAGGTCATTAGGTTTGGTGACAAATGCCTTTACCTACTGAACCATCTTGCCAGCTTCCTAAGGGGGGGAGAGAGAGAGGGGGAGGGAGGGAGGGAGGGAGGGAGGGAGGGAGGAGAGAGAAGAGAGAGAGTGTGTGTGTGTGTCACCATGCCCAACCTTTTTTTTTTTTTAAAAGTAACAGTTTTTCAAGACAGGGTTTCTCTGTGTAGCCCCCACTGTCCTAGAATTAGTTCTGTAGACCAGGCTGTCCTCAAACTCAGATCCGCCTGGCTCTGCCTTCTGAGTGCTGGGATTAAAGGCGTGCAACATTACCACTCCTCTTGGCCTTTATTTTTGATATTGTAGATTAGTATGTGAAGTGATAGGTTTCATATGCATCTTCATATATACGTGTCGTTATACTTTGTTTTCATTTTCTTTTCTTTTTTTGCTTCTTGAGACAGTATTTCTCTTTCTCTGTGTAACAGCCCTGGCTGTCCTGGAACTCACTTTCTGTATACAAGGCTGACCTCAAACTCGATATCTGCTCACCTCTGCTGGGATTACAAGTGTGTGCCACCACCACCCAGCCTATTTTTTCCTCTTACTCCTCCTCTGTAAACACCTTGGATGTGTCCCGGGAGGGTGATACTAAATAGAGAAGCGCTGGAAGGCTGGTGCAGACTATTGTCCCAGCTTCTTGGGAGCCTGAGATGGGCAGGTGGAGGAAATTTTGAGACAGCTTAGGCATCTTAGCAAGACTGTCTCAAAGTTAAAGATCCTGGGAGGGTAGCCTGTAGTTGTTTTTTGTTTTTTGTTTTTAACATTTTGGGGCCCTACCACCCAGCTTCCAGATAGATACATGGAGACTTACTGTTAAGCCTGGCCTTAGTTTGGCTTGTTTCTAGCTAGCTTTTCCAAGTTTAATTATCCCATTTCTCTTTAACTACCTTTTGCCTCTGGACTTTTTACCTTTCTTTATTCTATATGTCTTTCTTCCCTTCTTACTCTGTAGTTGGCCCCTGGCATCCTCCTCTCCTTTTCTCGTTCTTCCTCACTCTTCACTTCTCTCAAGCCTAGATTTCTCCTCCTGCCTGGCAGCCCCGCCTTTTCCTCTCTCTTGCCTAGCTCTTGGCTGTTCAGCTTTTTATTAGACCTTCGGGTGTTTTAGGCAGCAGAGTAACACAGTTTTACAGAGTGAAACAAATGTAACATAAAAGAATGCACCATATCTTTGCATCATTAAACAAATATCCCACAGTATACATGAATGTAATACATCTTAAAATAATATCCCACAGTATACATGAATGTAATACATCTTAAACTAGTATTCCACAGTATACATGAAGGTAATACATCTTAAACTAATATCCCACAGCATACATGAATGTCATACATCTTAAACTAATATCCCACAGTATACATGAATGTCATACATCTTAAACTAATATCCCACAGTATACATGAATGTAATACATGTTAAACTAATATCCCACAGCATACATGAATGTAATACATCTTAAACTAATATCCCACAATATACATGAATGTAATACATCTTAAACTAGTATCTCACAGTATACATGAATTAATACATCTTAAACTAGTATCTCACAGTATACATGAATATAATACATCTTAAACTAATATCCCACAGTATACATGAATGTAATACATGTTAAACTAATATCCCACAGTATACATGAATGTAATACATCTTAAACTAATATCCCACAGTATACATGAATGTAATACATGTTAAACTAATATCCCACAGTATGCATGAATGTAATACATCTTAAACTAATATCCCACAGTATACATGAATGTAATACATCTTAAACTAATATCCCACAGTATACATGAATGTCATACATCTTAAACTAATATTCCACAGTATACATGAATGTCATACATCTTACACTAGTATTCCACAACAGTAGCCTAGTGCTAGAGTGGCTAAGTGTGCACAAAACTCTGGGTTAGCATCGGTGCTGCTGATCGGCAGAACACAAAGAGGTGCAGCATGGACAGGGGACTTAGGTACAGGATTGTCCCAAACCTGGGCAGGTGAAGTTGAAGACAGAGCTGATGAGCAGGCCCCTCAGGATAGGTGCATCTCTGTGTTTGTGTGTACTTATGTTTCTGCGTATTAAGTAATATATTCTTCAGTACTCTAGTTTCTGATACATATGAAGCTGGTTTATGTTTATGCTTTATGTTGAGACTAATTTCCCTAACTTATGTCTTTTTGTTTTGTTTTGTTTTTCGAGACAGGGTTTCTCTGTGGCTTTGGAGGCTGTCCTGGAACTCGTTTGGTAGTCCAGGCTGTTCTCGAACTCACAGAGATCCGCCTGCCTCTGCCTCCCGAGTGCTGGGATTAAAGGCGTGCGCCACCAACGCCCAGCCCCTAACTTATGTCTTAATGCTCTTTCTGGTTCTCTTTGTGAGAGAAGTTTTTGTGGGGATTAATTTCATGGATGGCATAGGACTCTCTTTGTTTTTGTTTTTAACATGTTTTACACAAGATAATGGAACAGGAGCAGATATGATCTGTGCCTTTCTAGGCCTTTCTCTGACAGCCCTTCCCCTTCCCCACAGGCCGGGGCTTGAAGTCTCATGCCTACATCCACAGCGTCCAGTTCAGCCACCACGTCTTCCTCAACCTCCATACTCTCAAGTTTTACTGCCTTCCTGACAACTATGAGATCATCGATTCCTCACTGGAGGATATCACAGTATGTGTCCTAGGTTGCTGGGACAGGGCATGTTTTGTGAGCTATCCCAAGGGTCAGGGTGGTATCTGAGAGAAAGCAAAAAAGTGGAATAAATTCATGTTTCACAGTAAGTTCATGATGATTCTGTGACTGGTAAGATTCCATCCCTGACTTCACAGCACTGGGGAGGCTCAGAATTGTGGCACTCCCAGGGAAAGAGGTGCTCCATTCTTGTACTAGATACATGTGACAGTCTGCTGGAGACTCATGCTCCTGCTATCTTCATAGTCGCGAGGATCCTGGGTTCCGGCATCCATTGATTATGGAGTCCACCAGACTGTAGGGCTGAAGACAGACCTGAAGTTGAGTGATTCAGGATTAGACACAAAACCCTTGCAGATGAGCTCTGTGGAGGACTTACTCCATTACCTTGGTCTTCATCCCTTGTGGCTGGGGCTTTTGGGTGTGTAGTGGGGTAGTCATGACCAGAAAATTTTTATTTTTAGTAGGGATTGCTGTTCTGGACATACCCTGTGAACCCTGTTTACAACAACTTAGAGTTTCCTTTTGCTTGGCAGTACGTGTTGAAGCCTACTTTCACAAAGCAGCAAATTGCAAACTTGGACAAGCAAGCCAAATTGTCCCGGGCATATGATGGTACTACTTACCTGCCAGGGATCGTGGGGTTGAACAACATAAAAGCCAACGACTATGCAAATGCGGTGCTGCAGGTAGGATCCGGAAAGAACATTGGGACATTGGGAGGAGGGAGTAACTGGAAGCAGTGTGAGGGTTGCCAGGAAGTTACTGCTTTTTTGTTTTTACCCCCTCCCCCGAAGTTACTGCTTTCTTAGAGAGCGCATTCAGAAGGTTCCAGACCCCAGGTCTGTTTGAGGACTCTGCTTGAGCATTTGTTCTGCAGCTGGTAGAACATTCCTCTCTGGTCAAGGGGTGACTACTACATGGTGAGGGATTTTCAGCTGCTAGGCTTATGACTCCTGCAGTTTCCAGGTAATAAGAGGGGGACTCTGTTGCTAGGCAATGACAAAATGAAACACTGAGGTTGCATTTCTATTTCTTTTCCTGCCTCTTTCCCTCCCTTCTTTCTTCCTTTCTCTTTTTTTCTTTTTTCCCAAGACAGGGTTTCTCTGTGTAGCTTTGGAGCCTGTCCTGGAACTTTCTCTGTAGACCAGCCTGGCCTCGAACTCACAGAGCTCTCTCTGCCTCTGCCTCCCAGGTGCTGGGATTAAAGGTGTGCGCCACCAGCACCTGGCTCTTTCTTCGTTTCTTTGCATATGTATGTACTGTGTGAATATACGCATGTGTGAGTGCCTGTATTATGGAGTCCAGAGGAAGGTGTTGTATCCCTTGGAGCTGGAGTCGCAGGCAGTTCTGATCTGCCAGACGTGGGTTCTGGGTGTCCTCTGCATATCAGGGTGCACTGTATAAACTGCCGAGCCATGTCTCCAGCCCTGAATACTCTTTTTTTTTTTTTTTTACCCCACTTGCCCCGCCCCGAATACTCTTAAAATTTACTTCTTTTGGTTTTGTTGCTTTTTGTTGTTGTTTACTTATTTATTTGTTTGGTTGTTCTGCATGTGTTTTGTTGTTGTAGTTTGTTTTGTTCTATTTTTGATTTTTTTTTTAACTAGGGTCTTGCTTTGTAGCCCAAGCTACTCACTACATAGTCCAGGCTGGCTTCAAACTTGTGGTAGTTATCCTGTCTCAGCCTCCCAAGTATTGGAATTACAGACCTGAGAGTCTGTGCTTGGCTTTAAAGTCCTTCATAGTGTGCACATTCACTAAGTATTTGTCAACCTTTATTTTGTGTGACTCAGTGAAGGACATTGCACTGAGCTCTGGCATCATTTTTTGAGAGTCAGTTTCTTTTGGACATTTTAAGTCTATCCTAGGCCTGTCACAGGCTTTAGCTGAACAGCCTGATCTTAAAGGGTCCTGCAAGGGGCTTTGTGCTAACTGGAATGCTTGATTTTCAGGCTCTGTCAAACGTTCCTCCTCTGCGGAACTACTTCCTGGAGGAAGACAATTACAAGAACATCAAGCGCCCTCCAGGGGATATCATGTTCTTGTTGGTCCAGCGTTTTGGAGAGCTGATGAGAAAGCTCTGGAACCCCCGAAACTTCAAGGCACATGTTTCTCCTCATGAGATGCTTCAGGCTGTTGTCCTTTGCAGCAAGAAGACCTTCCAGATCACCAAACAAGGTGAGAAACAAGTGACCCACGTCTCTCTGATGAGCGCATATATTTCCACTTTGCAGTGGACCCTGATAGGCCGTGAAGGGACTGTCCATGGAAGTGGGTTAGGGTCTTCATTCTTTCTGATCAGTGCTTCCTGTGTAGAGGGACCAAAGAGATTGCATCTGGATGACCATGAAATCTGTTTTATTTGTCAGAAACATGGTATTGCTTATGGGAGAACCTGCTGCCACCTGTGCTGTTCACTCTGCCACGTCCCTAGTGGGTACTTAGGGAACTTTGTTCTGCTCAGTCTCAGCTCTCAGAGCTCAGCTGTAACTGGCAGTGAGTGAAGTCCCCAGTTCCTCTTAGTAGCTGGGTCTTGTGCAGTGCTGTATCACATCCATTTGTTCATCCTGCATTCTTGTTTTGCCTGTAGCCTTGACTAGCCTGGAGCTCACTGTGGACAGAGAGCATTTGTGTTCTGCCTGTCTCTGCCTTCCCAGTGCTGGGCCTTCTTACACTTTTCTTGCTGAGATTTAGAGCTATGGATTGAGGAGTGTGATCATTTTGTTGCTGGAGCTCCCAGGCTAACAGGAAAGGTAATTGTATAGGGAAGTAATCAGAGGGTATAAGTGCTATGATAAGAGAAGGCAGGATCTCCAATTCATCGGAGCATGTGACAAAGACTCAGCTGAACATACAAGAAGAGTCCTGAGTGCTAGGTAGAAGAGGAGGAGGCAGGTTGGCGAGAGGCAGGGTTAGGCAGGCGTGGGGGTTCCAGTGTATAGTTTGGGGTACACAAAGGAGTCTGGCACAGAGTAAGTACTCCATCTTGGGTTCCATGGTCAGTGGAGAGCCAGGGTAGTAGCTAGGAAAGACTTTCCAGTTTCTTGTGTCTTTGTAGGGATACTGGGTTATATTTAAGGTAGAAAATCAGCACTTACAAAAGTGTGACAACATATCTATGATTAAGAAACGTTATTCTGGGTGGGGCAGTGGTGGTGCACACCTTTAATCCCAATGCTGGGAGGTAGAGGCTGGTGGATTTCTAAGTTTGAGGCCAGCCTGGTCTACAGAGTGAGTTCCAGGATAGCCAGGGCTATACACAGACACAGATACACACACACACACACACACACACACACACACACACACACACACACACACACACACACACACACACACACACACACATGCACACACTATTCTGAGCTGGCCATGGTGGTGCCTGCATATATTCCCAGCACCTAGGAGGTAGAGGTAGTTCAACATCATTCTTAGCTACATGAGATCTTTTTTCTCAAAAATCCAAAAACATGGGCTGGAGGGATGGCTCTGTGGTTAAGAACACTAGTTGGTCTTCCAGAGGTCGGTCCTGAGTTCAATTCCCAGCCACCACATGATGGCTCATAGCCTTCTGTATTGAGATCTGGTGCAGTCTTCTGACTAGCAGGCATACATGCAGACAGAACATTGTACATAATAAATTAAAAAAAAAATCCAAAAACAAAATAAAAACTTCATTATTCTCATTGGGAAATGACTTACATAGAGGGAAAGTTCACTGGCTTGCTTTAAAGATTTTTAAAAAATTATTTTATGTGTGTAAGTGTTTTGCCTGTATGTATATTTCTACCATATGCATGCCTGTACCTAAGGAGGCCAGAAGAGGGTTTTAGATTCCCTTGAACTGGAGTTATAGACAGCTGTTAACTGCCATGTGGGTGCTGGGAATCAAACCTGGGTCCCTCTGAAATGCTCTAAAATACTAAGCCATCTTTCCTGTTATTTCTACCCTCCAACACATTGTTTTTTTTTTTTTTTGTTTTTTTTGTTTTTTTTTGGTTTTTCGAAATAGGGTTTTCCTGTGGCTTTGGAGGCTGTCCTGGAACTCACTCTGTAGACCAGACTGGTCTCGAACTCCCAGAAATCCTCCTGCCTCTGCCTCCCGAGTGCTGGGGTTAAAGGCATGCGCTACCACCGCCCAGCCCCCCAACACATTTTTTAAAAATTTTCTTTTAAAGACAGGTTCCCACTATGCAGCCCTAGCTGTCCTGGAACTTACTATGTAGACCAAACAACTCTGAAACTTACAGAGATCCACCTGCCTCTCCATCCTATGTGCTGGAAATAAAGGCATGTGCCATTATACTTCCTTAGTAGTAGCTTTCATATTCTTAGGTACTTAGGAAAGCAGCAGATAAGAGAGTAGATAAGGAGCTGAGACTCTTGGGTTTAGGGTAACAGAGTAACGTACACTTGGGAATTGACTGTATGTTGACCAGAGCCCCATGATTTATTCCCAAATGAGCAGAAGTTACAAAGACATTTGAACATGGTGTTTCATAATTTGTAAGAAGTTCTGTAGTGAGTGGTTTAGTTACAGGACTACAACACTTTACAAAGATCCGAGCGAAGGTCTAAGGATGTAAATGAAGAAAAAGACAGTGGCTCATTCTTACAAGGAGAATGGCGTTTATTTTTAACAAGAGCGGACATGGTGGAAAACCACCAAGGTCAGAAGCCTACGTTCCCAGGGCCCTCTGGCAAAGGATGGGCCAATAACAGGAATTAGCATTTAGACAGTAAGGATGGACAGAAAACAGGAACTTGGGAGGAGGGCATTAGAGGTGTTTTGCTAGAAGCTGCTAGTCATAAGCTGGTCAGCAGACCCCCATGGGAGAAGGGTGCAACAAAGTTCAGTAACATCTTACACTTCTGAACATGTGGACAGCTATTTCCTGTGCTAGATGAACCTTCAAATTTCTAGCATCTAGATTCATAAAGTCATTTTGCTTCTGGACCAACTCTGAGGTCTCAATTTTGTTTGGGTTTTTAAGACTTCTTATTAAGTGTGTGTGTGTGTGTGTGTGTGTGTGTGTGTGTGTGTATTCAGGTGCCCATGGAGGGAGGGAGGGAGAGAGAGAGTGAGTGAGTGTGTGTGCATGCGTGTGCATAGGGGTATGTATATAAACGTGCAGGTGTCCCTGGATTCTAGAAGAGGCTGTTGGATCCGGGAAAGCTGGATGCTGGAGTTACAGGTAGTTGTGAGCCGTCCACTGTAGGTGCTGGGAACTGAACTCAGGCCCCCTGCCCAAGCAGTGAACTTTCTTGTTTTTATATCAAAGCTACAACAAGGTAAGATATTTTTGTAGAGAAATTTGTTTGCCGTGAGTAGGTGTATTTGTTAGCCTTCCCTTTAGCTTTTAACATCTTTGCAAAGTTAAAGCAAGATTGGTTAGAGTTGCAGAAAAGTCTTAACTGTAAGAATAAATTTACACTTACCTAGTTTCTTCTGTCATAGCCATAGTTTGTATTGTCAGTTAAGTACAATTTCCCCAGTATCTGAGACCTGGGAAGTTCTTACTTTGGTCACTTGTAGTTAAATAGAGCATAGTGTGTGGAGGAAAGTAATTTTGTAGAGCTGTCAGGCCTACAAAATCAGGGAGATGAAGTTAAAGAAGACTACACAGCCTTACAGAGTTTAATTGGATGAGCAGAGGGGAAGTAAATGGAGATAGACATCTGGTAAGAGAGTAGCCATTGCTGGGCGTTGGTGGCGCACGCCTTTAATCCCAGCACTCGGGAGGCAGAGGCAGGCGGATCTCTGTGAGTTCGAGGCCAGCCTGGTCTACAGAGCGAGTTCCAGGACAGCCTCCAAAGCCACAGAGAAACCCTGTCTCGAAAAACCAAAAAAAAAAAAAAAAAAAAAAAGAGAGTAGCCATTATCCCAGACAGACTTGAGAGGGCGGCACCTAGCCTTCTCTTAGGCACTCTTACCATGGGCCTAACGTTGCTTGTTCCAGAATCCTTTGCTCTCTAATATGTGTAGATGCCCTCTTCATAGTAGCACTAGAAGTTGCCTTCCTGAAGGACAAGGGTCTTCGTAGGACAGGAAGGGAGGAAGGGAGTCAGCGACACTGTGAAGACATGGATATTACAGATTGTCATTCATTGTTATCACTGGGTGATGAGATACTTTCTGGGACAAAAATGACAGGGTCTAGCTGTGGATCAAAGTACCTTGAGAGAGACTAAAGAGTAAGCTTGACCTTGAGGAAGTGTGGTGCTTGTCGGGTAGAGGGGATGGGGTGCGTGCCTGGAGAGGATGAGGAGAGCCAGCCAGTGCGTGCCTGGGTTCCTTTCCTGCCTCTGAGCTTCAGCAAGCTCCTCTCTTCCTTTGTTCCTAGGGGATGGAGTTGACTTCCTGTCTTGGTTTCTGAACGCTCTGCACTCGGCTCTGGGCGGCACCAAGAAGAAGAAGAAGAGTAAGTCATGCTGCTTGTCAAAAGAGAGCCCTATTTTCTTTTTTTTGTTGTTGTTGTTTTGTTTTTTCTCTAGAAAAAAAATTACAGTTATACTGTTGCCTTCTTTTGAGACCAAGTCTTGCTAGAGCCCAAGCTAGCCTAGAGCTCAGGCTCTTCTTGTCTCAGTTTCTTCCGTGCTGGGATGACTTCGAACTCCTGATCCTTCTGCTCCAGCACCACATGTTGGGATTATAGGCATGTGCCATTAGGCTGGACTAGGCCTGAAGAGACCTTGCTATGTTTTTTGTTAGAATGTGATTATTCTCAATTTATTTTTTTTTCTAGCTTTGTTGTTGTTTTATCTTTTTCTAATCTTTAAAATATAGTCTGCTGCCTAGCCCAGACTGGATTTGGAATTTGTAATCCTCCTGACTCGGCCTCCCATATACTGAGATCACAAATATACACTGCCATGCCTGGCCCCAGTGGCATTTTTAAGCAGAAATGCCTGGAAGGTACTGGGTTAAGTAAGACAGACAGAAGATTTGGCTGTGTGTTGTCACTCCAGAAGTGATCTTGCAACAGCCAAGAGTAGAGTCCTGGTTACCAGAGGCCTGGGGCTAGAAGGGCTCACTAAGACAGAGGAGTTAGCAGGAGAGGCTTTCAGTGTTCTTTGACACAGTAGGTACAAGTGGTTGACAGACACTAACTATGTACTTCAGTATAGCTGCTAGAGAGGATTGTGAATGTTCTGAGCACAAGGGAATGATAAATGTTTAGAAATGAGTATGCCAGTTAGCCTCAGTGGGCCATTATTGAAATAGCACTCTGTCCTTAATAGATTTGGTCTTGGGTATCGGTTAAAGCTCCCTCACTCCGAATGCTGGAATTACAGGCATGTATCATTTGTCTCAGATTAAAGTATTTATTAGTATGCCTGCATGAGTTTATGTGCTCATGTGTACAAGAGCACTTGGAGGTCAGAGGGTGTCAGAAGCCCAGGAATTGGGTTACAGGTGGTTGTGAGCCATCTGATATAGGTTGTAGGAATTCAGTTTTAGTCCTCTGTAAGAGCAGTTTGTGTTCTTAACTGCTAGGCTTCTCTCCAGACTAAATCAACACTTGGTTTTGTTGTTTTTGTTTTTGAGACAGGATTTCTTTTTTTTTTTTTTTTTGGTTTTTTGAGACAGGGTTTCTCTGTATGTTTTGGAGGCTGTCCTGGAACTCGCTCTGTAGACCAGGCTGGCCTCGAACTCACAGAAATCCGCCTGCCTCAGCCTCCCAAGCACTGGGATTAAAGGCATGTGCCACCAACGTCTGGTGAGACAGGATTTCTATGTAGTCCTGGCTACCCTGGAACTGACTCTGTAGACCAGACTGGCCTCAAACTACACAGATCACCTGTCTTGCCTCCCAAGCACTAAAATTAAAGAAAAGCACTACCACATATCAGCCAAAGCATTTTTTTTTTTGTACAATTCAGACATGGGTTTATTATGTTCTAGAAATTCTGACCCAGTTTGAAATGGAGAGTGGGGGCATTGGGTTCTAGACTCTTAGATTCCTGCCAGTACTAGAGCTAGGGAAGGACTGAGCTGAATGTTAGAGCAGATTTTGACTCATAGGTACAAAACTACACTACAAGTCCCTCTGACCTATTATTGTCCTTCTATTGGTTTAGTGGTCATTAGATGTTTATTTTGAATTCCAATTATAGTTTGTACAGCGGGTTTTTGTTTGTTTGTTTGTTTTTTGAGACAGGGTTTCTCTGTATTGTTTTGGAGGCTGTCCTGGAACTCGCTATCTGTAGATCAGGCTGGCCTCGAACTCACAGAGATCTGCCTGCCTCTGCCTCCTGAGTGCTGGGATTAAAGGTGTGCGCCACCATGGCCTGGCCTTGTTTTTGTTTTTTGAGACATGGTTTTTCTGTATAACATTACTGGTTGTCCTGGAACTTGCTTTGTAGACCAGGCTGGCTTCGAACTCACAGAGATCTGTCTATTTCTGCCTCCCAAGTGCTGATATTAAGGGCATGCCAACACCATGCTTTGCTGGTTTCTTCTTTTTTATTTGATTGATTGTGTGATTGTATGTGTGTTATTTATTTTGAGATAAGGTCTTGCCTTGTAGCCTAGGCTAGCCTCAAACCCCCAAATCTTCCTGCTTCCACTGCCTGAGAATAGATGTGTCCCTCTTTTGTATTCTGTGTTGTCATGGCTTTGCTGGCGATGGAGTTTAGTATTTTGCTATAGATAGCTCTGTCCTGTCTACGAGGTAAACTCAGCCAAGCTCTTTCTCTCAGGTCTCTAACTTGTGTCCCACTGGGATTCTAGGACCCCTGTGCTTTGTGTTTTTGTTTTGCTTTTATTCTTGTTTATCATCTTAGTCATTTCTCTCTTGTGTCCAGTGTAGGTCACTGCCTTTTGAAGGCTGTGTGTGGATATGAGAAAAAAAGCAGCTTTTGAGGTGTGTGTGTGTGTGTGTGTGTGTGTGTGTGGACACCTGTGGAGACCCAGTGCTGGCATTAGAGGTGAAGACCACCTCACCCATCTCTTTAATATGTGAGTGCAAGGGGTCAAACTCAGGTCTTCATGCCTGATGGAAAACTCTTTATCGATTTTTTTACCTATTTTTTTTCCCATTGATTGTTTTGAGGCAGGGTCTCGTGGCTAAAGTTGGATTTGAACTCTTGATCCTCCTGCTTCTACCTTCCAAGTGCTATGATTATTGGTGAGAATTGCCACACCCAGTTCTATGCTCTATTTTGATTAAATTTTTAAAAAGATTCATTTATTTTATGAGTATGAATGTTTTGCCTGCTTTTTGCTATGCATACCATGTGGGCGCCTGCTTGCCTCAGAGATAAAAAGGTGGCATTGGAGCCTCTGGAACGGTTGTGAGCCACCATGTGGGTGCCTGTTGCTGGGTCCTAATGGCTTTCTTGGGAGAGGGGTTGAGAAGGCAAGGAGTCAGCTGCACAGACACTAGGAGGAAAAATCAAAAGCCAAAAGATGGCATTGGGCCAGGCGTTGGTGGCGCATGCCTTTAATCCCAGCACTTGGGAGGTAGAGGCAGGCGGATCTCTGTGAGTTCGAGGCCAGCCTGATCTACAGAGCAAGTTCCAGAATAGCCCCCAAAACAATGCAGAGAAACCCTGTCTCGGACAAACAAAGTGGCATTGGAGCCTCTGGAGTGGTTTTGAGCCACTATGTGGGTGCTGGGAATGAAGGCTGAGTTGTCTATGCAAGAGCAGCAAGCGTTCTATGCTTCTGAGTCCTCGCTCCCGCTCTCTCTTTAAAATGATTCTGTTTTTAAGCTGTGTAGGTCATTCATTTCAAATGCACATTTTCCCCCTTTCATGATCCAGCCCAATGGTCAAAGAGTGTCCTGTGGAAGAGATATGATGTAATTCCTTAGAAAAGTATAGGTTCCATGATGATATATGTTACCAAGTGAAAGCTTCTGTGCTTAGGGAGAGCTTGAGTCTTCCACTACTAGGTGTCCTGGTTTATATCAGAGATTTACAGGTTGGGAATATGTTCCTGACATGCTTGCTGGACTCACAGACTTTGTACTTTGCTTTTTGTTTGCACAGCTATTGTGACTGATGTTTTCCAGGGGTCAATGAGAATATTCACCAAAAAGCTTCCTCATCCTGATCTGGTGAGTGTCCAGGACAGAAATATAACCTGATACATGTTTCCTGAGGGACTTAGGGAAGCAGGAGCTTAGAGAACAGAGAAATGAACCCCACAAAGGAGTTCACAGAGCACCTGCTGAGGGCCCGTTCTGTGCCCATAGTGGCCATGAACTGTGAGCTTCAGCTTTGTAGTTAGTAGTGTGTTGGTTGACAGGGTTTGACCGCTGAGTGGTACTGGTGTGTTTTGAGAAGGCTCAGCTGAACTTCTTGTGTAACTGGAGAGCTTTTTAAATAGTATGATGTATAAATAAACTCCTTCCAAGGAGAGAAGCCATTAGTTCTTTTCTTTAAAAGTTGGCCTATAGCGGGTGTTGGTGTCGCACGTCTTTAATCCCAGCACTCGGGAGGCAGAGGCAGGTGGATCTCTGTGAGTTCAAGGCCAGTCTGGTCTACAGAGAGAGAGTTCCAGGACAGCCTCCAAAACAATACAGAGAAACCCTATCTCCAAAAACCAAAAAAAAAAAAAAAAAAAAAAAAGTTGACCTATAAAATGTGGTATCTCCAAACACAAGTGTCATTACACTTAGTTCTAATTAATCACCCTCTTCTTTTTTTATATATATAATTTATTTAACTTTATTTTATGTGAATTGGTATGAAGTTGTCAGATCTCCTGAAACAGGAGTTACAGATAGTTGAGCTGCCGTATAGATGCTTGGAATTGAACGTAGGTCCTCTTGAAGAGCAGCCAGTGCTCTTAACCACTGAGCCATTCTCTCCAGCCCCAATCACCCTCTTCTATTGCCCTCCCCTGTTCCCAGTGCCCTCTTCCTGTCAGGTTTCTTTTCCACAAATAGTTCCTCCTTTTGCTTCATGTCCTATGTACTCCATTACCCTCTTTCCCCTGTTGAAGGTCTCCTCCTTCTGATCATGATCCCCTTTCTAGTTGCATGACCACAGGCATGCACACATGCTATCAGTTTTTGAATTAATACTGGCAGGTAGTGGTTCTGAAGATAGCTGCCTGGGCTCTGGGTTAGGGAAGATGTGTGCGAGCATTGTGTCCTCTGGGTTTGCTTCATGCTGTTGACACTCCTTTTTCTCTTTTGTCTTCTCATTCATTTCTAGCCAGCGGAAGAGAAAGAACAGCTGCTCCATAATGATGAGTACCAAGAGACGATGGTAGAGTCCACGTTTATGTACTTGACACTGGACCTTCCCACTGCCCCACTCTATAAGGATGAGAAGGAGCAGCTCATTATCCCCCAGGTGCCGCTCTTCAACATCCTGGCCAAGTTCAACGGCATCACTGAGAAGGTAGCCAAATTGCCATCCTTGCCCTTTTTTCTTGGTTTGGTTTTTTTTTTTTTTTTTTTTTGGTTTTTATGAGACAGGGTTTCTCTGTATTGTTTTGGAGGCTGTCGGTCCAGCCCAGCCTTCAACTCACAGAGATCCCCCTGCCTCTGCCTCCCGAGTGCTGGGCTTAAAGGCGTGCACCACCAACGCCCGGCTCTTGGTTTGTATTTTAACTTTATCATCACCAGCACCCTCTCTTTCTTTTCAGTGTTGACAGCAGGGCCTCGGAAGTGGAAAGCAAGTGCTCTGCAGACAAATTACTCCTCATTTGCTTTGTGTTTTTATATTTCAGAATCACCACATAAATATCAGATACTTTAAGTGTATTGTCTTTTTCAAATCTCCCAGCCTCTCTGGTGTTTAGCTCATTAACTTTAGAGCCCCTTCTTACATGGCTCCTGCCTGCCTCTGAGTAATTTATAGAAAAGATGGGAAATTCAGATGTTTGGAAACTCAAGAAATACAGAAATCTCATCTTTAAAAAAATATTTTATTTTATTTTATTTTGAGATAAGGTCTCATCTAGCCAAGTTAGCCTAAAACTTGCTGTGTAATCAGGACCAGCCTTGAGCTCTCCTTCCTCCACCAAATGCTGGCTTACAAGTGTGAGCCACCACTTCCAGCTTCAACAATTACTTTTAATTTGTCTAGCTGGCTCTTTTTTTTTTTTTTTCTGTTTTTCTTTTTTTAATAATATGGGTACTTACCCTTAATTCGAGCTCAGTAGCAAACTGTTGGGGCAATAGCAGAAATGATGACACTGGACTCTCTTTTTGTTTTTTGGAGACAGGCTTTCTTTGTGTAGTTTTAGTTCCAGCAATATGATCATATACTGAAACAGCCTGTTATATCTTACTCAGTGTTTACCACATTGCTTCTCTTGTGTCTTCTGAACTCTAATTGTGATGCAGAGCTATGTTTAAAAACCAGGCCCCTGTTATACTACTGAGTACTGGCACTGATGCCATCAAACTGTCTTTGCAGGAATACAAGACGTACAAGGAGAATTTCCTGAAGCGTTTCCAGCTCACCAAGCTGCCTCCGTATTTAATCTTTTGCATCAAGAGATTTACAAAGAACAACTTCTTCGTGGAGAAGAATCCAACAATTGTCAACTTCCCTATCACGTGTGTATCACCCTGCTTCACTTTTGTGTTTTGTTTGTTTGTTGGTTTGGTTTTTCAAGAGGTGGGGGTCCCTGCACCTCTTTCTTTTTGAAGCAGGGTCTTATGAAGCCCAGGCTGTCCTTGAACTTGCCAAATGGTCATGAACTCCTGAAACTCCTGTCTCAGCCTCCCAGGTCTGCAGCTAGCCACATCTGGCTGTGAGTTTGGATGTCGTTCCATGTTGTTCCTTTTGGTTAGAGATCGCAGGAAACAGCTTCCTACCTCATAGAAATTCAAGGGTTTGCTGGAAGGAGGTACATGTTTCACAGTCCCCAAAGGGGGATACTCATGCAGATGTAGCCATTTATTTATTTGTTTGCTTATTGAGATACAGATTCATATACAGATTGGCTGTGAAGTTACTTTGCAAGCCTAGATGACCTTGAACTTTAGATTTTTCTGCCTCTACCCCCCAAGTTCTGTAATAAGAAGCATGAGACAGCATATTGTCATAAACATTTATGGATGTTTTTCCTGCATGTATGTCTGTATCATGTGCATTCCTAGTACCCACAGAAGCCAAAAGAGGGCATCAAATTCCCTGGAACTGGAGTTACAGACACTTGTGAGCCCTGGGTTCCAGAAATCAAACTGTAGTCCTCTGGAAGAGCAGCCGGTGCTTTTAGCTGCTGATCCGTTTCCCAGCACCAAGAGACAGTGTATTATATGATCTGAAAAAGGCCTCCCTTACAATGTGGAGAAACTTCATGGCAGGTTGATAAGTGTGTCGGCATGCGGGTGTTGAGGTTGAAGGAAGCCTAGTGTCTAATAAGGCAAATTGGCAGGGGAAGGCTTTGGATGAGCATATGTTTAACTCAACTGTCTAGAGTATGATCAGTTTTCTTATTGAAAGGGAAGTTTTACGTTTTTGTCTGTATTTATTAGTCTTTGAATTTCATACTTTGAGTCTAATTTAAAACAGTGAAGGAGTTTGGGACTATGGTGGCCAGATGCTTTTTTTGTTTTGTTTTGTTTTACGAGACAGGGTTTCTCTGTATTGTTTTGGAGGCTGTCGGTCCAGCCTGGCCTCGAACTCACAGAGATCCGCCTGCCTCTGCCTCCCGAGTGCTGGGATTAAAGGCGTGCGCCACCAACACCTGGCTGATGGCCAGATTCTTGCCTCTTGGTCTCCTGTTCCTCTCATCTCGTTCCTCTTTCTAGACCTCCAGACTACCAGGTTTGCCAGTGTTCTCCTTCGAAAATATTTCCAGTTCTGAGTCCTGTGTGAATTTAAAGAGAGTATTAGCTGGGGAGATGGCTTAAAGAGTAGATGAGTCCTAAGGCTCCTTCCAGTGTAGGTTAGGGATTTTTTTTGTGTTTTGTTTGTTTGTTGGTTTGGTTTTTCAAGATAGGGTTTTTCTGTATAGCTTTGGAGCCTGTCCTGGAGCTTGCTCTGTAGACCAGGCTAGCCTTGAACTCACAGAAATCCACCTGCCTCTGCCTCCTTCGTGCTGGCACTAAAGGCATGCACCACTACCGCCCCGCTTATTCTAATGCAGTTCATCCTCCCTGAGAATCTGTGTTAGTAGATGGTGAAGAGAGAGGTGTCCTGGGGAATCCTCTCCTCCCTCTCCTCTTAATTACTAGAGACAGAACCAGGCATCCTAGGTTTTGGCAAACACTGTATCACTGAGCTTTATCTAAATTTTATCTAATTTTTTTCTAAATGAGGAATGCAAGAGAATTTCCTATTTTCTTTTTTAAAAGAATATTTCTTAAAAAATTTTCATGTTTACGAATGTCTTACCTGCATGTGTGTCTGTTTACCGTGTTCACATAGAGCCCACGGAGATCAGAAGAGGGCATCGGATCCTCTGGAACTGGACTTACAGATGGTTGCAAACCATGTAGGTGTAGAGAACTGAACATGGGTCCTCTGCAAGAGCAGCCAGTGCTCTAACCTCTGAGCCATCTCTCCAGCTCCTCCTTTCTCCCCAGACTTTTCTCCTGTTTTCGCCACTGCCTAGTTTGTGTGACAGGTGGGGAACACAGAAGCCTTTTTGTCTGCTCTCTTGAATGGGACTCCAGAGGTACTGCCTTTGAAATGTCCCAATCAGTGTTTTATATCAGTCTCTTGTGAGTCACCAGTGTGTTCCTGGTAGGACAGGGGCCACTGTGTGGATGGTGCTTCCTCAGTAGCTGCAGAAACTTCTTATCCCGCTGCCTTTTCTTTTGGCCGGGAGGTGTTTACCCTCTTACCAGTTGCATTTGGTAGTTCTGACCTCAGTAGCTTGCCCTTTTGGAAAGTTTGCTCTGGAGAAGTTAGAAAACAGGAGATCTATTAGATCAGGACTCAAAGTCTATTTCATTAAAAAATTATATTTTATTTATTTTGTATATGGGTGTGCACTCGTACATGGGTGTTGATGCTCCTTAGCACATATGTGGAGGTCTGACAATGACTTACGGGATTCATTTTTCTCCTTCTACTGTATGGGTCCCAGGGGTCACACTTAGGCCACCAGGCTTGCATGATAAACTTTACTAATTGATCAATTTCCCTAACCATTTTTACTTTCTTTTTAAAAAAGCCTTTTGTTTGTTTTGTTTTGAGACAGGGTCTCTATATAGCTGTTCTGGATTTCAGCAAGTAGACTAGGCTGGCTTTGAATTCAGAGCTCCTCCTACCTCTCTGTCTTCTGAGGAATTAAAGATGTATGCCACAATGTCTGGCAGAATTTTTTGTTTTGTTTTATTTTTGAGATTTATTTACTTTATGTGTATGGGTGTTTTGTCAGCATGTGTGTCTGGTACCCTTCAAAATGAGAGGATGTTATTGATGTTGGATTCCCTAGAATTGAAATTATAGGGATGCTGGGTATTGAACCTGGTGCTCTAGCAGCCAGTGTTCTTAACTGCTGAGCTGTCTCTTTCCAGCCCCCAGTGCTTTTTAAAAGATAATATAGGGTGTCAGTGTATGGCCCAAGTTCATCTAAACCACTGTGTAGCTCAGAGTGTCTTTGATCCCCTGGTTCAGTGAAGACTGCCTCAAGAATAAGGAAGAGAGTAATTGAGGAAGACACCAGGTATTGACCTGTCACCTCTGCAGGTGTGCACAGCCATCTGCCACATGTACTACATGTGCACACAAGTGCATACCCCACACATGCAAAGAAACAGAAGGCAGCTAGCTCTCTGGGCCCTTTTTTTTCTTCACTACTGCCTTTCTAGTCTAGAAACCTTGAGTAAACTCCCCTTTCATGCCTTGCTGTCTATGTGGGCTGCTTGCAATGTTTTTGCCTCTTCACTGAAAGAACATGAAAAGTAAGATCCTTGAAAATAAGAAAGCTAAACCAGGTGTTGGTGGTGCATGCCTTTAATCCCAGCACTCGGGAGGCAGAGGCAGGCTGATCTACAGAGGCTCTGTGAGTTCGAGGCCAGCCTGGTCTACAGAGCAAGTTCCAGAATAGCCCCCAAAACAATGCAGAGAAACCCAGTCTTGGGGGAAAAGGAAAAAAAAAAGAAAGCTGGTGGTTTGCCTAGTTTTCAGGTTGAGGTGGTTACAGTGATGAGAGATTGTGTTGTGTGGTCAGTCTTCTTTCTTAGGGTGCTGTCTGATCCCGGGGCCTCACATTACACTCCTAGGTAGGCCCTCAGGGGAGGTGGTGGAACTACATTTCTCGTGTAACAGCTTAAGTCCATGGCTGTCAGGTGACCAGCACAATTCCCATTCAAATCCAAATGATGGGCCGAGACCCTGCATGCTCCTTTGGTTTGTAGACACGCTTCTTAGGCTGCTTTTTTGACAGAGGTTGTCACTGTTGGAAAATGTGAATTTGGCTCCCTGGAACTTTTGTGGCACTGCAAATCTTTCCAAAACTAGGACCTTAAAGTGACAGTCAACAGCTCTGTGGTTCATTTGTATGGGACTTTCCCTAACTTCACAGCCGTGGTCTGATGCTCTGTTGTTGTTTCTCTTTATCTTCAGAAATGTGGATCTGAGAGAATACTTATCTGAAGAAGTCCAAGCAGTCCACAAGAACACCACTTATGATCTCATTGCCAACATCGTGCATGATGGCAAGCCCTCCGAGGGCTCCTACCGGATCCATGTGCTTCACCATGTGAGTGGCCCCTGATGGCGTGGCACAGAGCTACAGGAGTTATGCCTGTGGTGTCTAAGTTTGCCCTTTCTGGGCCTGCCCTCAGAACTCTGTACATAATGGATGGCTTTAGTTTTGTCTTAATGGTAAACACCACTGAGAAGTTTCTGAAGTACCGATGGCTGGCTTTGTCTCAGCCCTGTTATACAGTAGACATTGGCTTTCAACTGGAGTAGAGGCCAGGGATGCAGCCACAGACCCTAGAGTGCTGAGCCCATCTCTGTAACATGCTTACTTACTTATTCCTAGCAGTGATCAGCATCAGGGTTAACTAAGAGACTGCCTTAGAGTATGTAGATGCAGAATGAGGTGTTAGGTGTTCTAAAGTTCCCCAGGAGGTTCTGAGGCCAGCCAGGGTTGAGAACCCCTATTCAGGATTAGAGCCCCAGCAGCTGTGGTGCCACCCGAGGGCTCCTTAGAATGTCAGAATTCCAACCCTTTGGGACACATTGCATCAGCTCTTTGTGATTTAACAAGCCCCTTTGATAATCATGAAATTAATGTTTGAGAAGCATTGGTTTAGAGACTTTCTTTGCTTTATCTGTCATGATTATCTTTGAGGCAGGGTCTCACATTGTAGCTCAGGCTGGCCTGGAACATACATGTAGCCCAGGCTAGCTGAGAACTTGTGCAGTTCTCTTGCCCTTCGCCTCCCAAGGACTAGAATCAGAGGCATTATCCCATGCCTAGCTAAGCTAAAACATTTTAAGGGTGTGTCTAAAGCTGAAAATAAAAGCACACACAGGATATATTTGAAAACACAGAATTTCAGTGTAGGCTGTTGTAATGTAACTTAGTGCCTCTGGGACTAATGGTTTACTCTCCTTAAAGCACACCCCCACACATGAGGAAACCTAGGCTTAGAGTTTGAGAACTTACCTGAAGTCAGTGGGATCTTGTGGCAAAATACTTGGCCTCAAAGCCCATGTGCTTAGCTAGTCTTAGAACCAGAAATGAACTTGCTCTGTAGGTCCGTGCTTTCTCTGTAGCCCCTATTTTTGGACTTTAAAGTATCTGCAATATATGCAACACCTGTGTCGTATCACAGCTGTTCTTTTCATGTGTTAGCCGTTTCATGTTAGCATTTGGTGAGGTAATTTGTCTGTGTTGGCATCACTGGTTTGCTGGCCAGGGGAAACAGTGTAGGTGATGGGCAGATGACTTACTTTGCTGCTTTTTCTGGGATGAGGCTGTGAAGGAGGAGAATGTCTACTTAGAGGTCTCTTTTTTTTTTTTTTTTTTTTTTTTTTGAGACAGGGTTTCTCTGTGGCTTTGGAGCCTGTCCCGGAACTCACTCTGTAGACCAGGCTGGCCTTGAACTCACAGCGATCCACCTGCCTCTGCCTCCTGAATTCTGGGACTAAAGTTGTGTGCCACCGCCACCTGGCCCACTTGGAGGATTTTTTTTTGTTTTTTGTTTTTACGAGACAGGGTTTCTCTGTATTGTTTTGGAGGCTATCGGTTCAGCCCGACCTCGAACTCACAGAGATCCACCTGCCTCTGCCTCCCGAGTGCTATTATTAAAGGCGTTCGCCACCACCGCCCGGCCCACTTGGAGGATCTTAGCAGCCAGCTTCGTATACATTCGACAAGAGTTTGTCTAATTAACCATTTCTGGACAGGTAAAAGACATTTGAGTTTGGAGGGCCTTCTCCTTTTCCTCTGGAGTGACCATCTAAATTCCTCTTTAAAAATGTAGAAGAGCCGAGCGGTGGTGGCAAACGCCTTTAATCCCAGCACTCGGGAGGCAGAGGCAGGTGGATCTCTGTGAATTCGAGGCTGGGCTGGACAGACAGCCTCCAAAACAATACAGAGAAACCCTGTCTCGTAAAAACCAAAAAAAAAAAAAAAAAAAGTGTAGAAGAGAGCCGGGCCGTGGTGGCCAGTGCCTTTAATCCTGGCACTCAGGAGGCAGAGGCAGGTAGATCTCTGTGAGTTCAAGACCAGTCTGGTCTACAAGTGCTAGTTCCAGGACAGCATCTAAAGCCACAGAGAAACCCCCTCCCCCCCAAAAAAGTGTAGAAGAGGGTCTGGGGATTTAGCTCAAATGATAGGGTGTCCAGCATGTACGAAGCCTTAGGTTTGATTCCATACACTGTATGAACTGACTGTGGTGCTTCCCACCTATAATCGTGCCAGCACTCTGAGGTAGAAGCAGGAGAATCAGAAGTTCAAGGCCTTCCTTGGTAAAAGAGGAAATCTGGTGGTAGACTGGGCTGTGGGGACAACCCTACCCACAAGGGCGAGAGGGAGGAGAGAAAGTGAGAAGAAAGGGGAAAGAAGAAGCAGAATGTTTGGGACTTATCTTATTTCAAAGACTCCTTGATAGGAATTGAGGTTGCCAGAACTATTCATTCACTTGGGTCTAGCCAAGGTTATGACTCTTGTTGATATTTAGTGGCCATTCTGATGTTTCTGACTCTCGCTGTGAAATTTTTATACCTCTGGTTTTGGAGAGCAGGTTAACCCAGCCCTCATGCTTTGTGCAGGGAACCGGCAAGTGGTATGAATTACAAGACCTCCAGGTGACTGACATCCTGCCCCAGATGATCACATTGTCCGAGGCGTACATTCAGGTAGGTGTGGGCCATGGTGGGAAGTGGGATTGATGTAAAGCCTTGCTTACGGCCTGGGTGCTTCAAGAGTATGAGGGGACCAGATTATGTGGCCCCAGAAGTCAATCAGATTTTCAGAAGGAAAAGTATAGAAGCCTGTCAGTCAGCAAGTGAGCAAGGTGTGTTTGTGACCTTGTTAGTTTAGCAGAGATCTCTAACTCTAGTCCCGGCAGATCCTAAACTGTGTTTTGACCTTTGTGTACACCAGGCGTGCACATCAAATGTGCAGGCAAAACACTCACACATTAAGTAATAAATAAATCTGAAAAAGAATTTAAAAAAAGGAATGGGATAAAAGTTGAGGGTAGGTGGAAAAATGTAAGTGGAATGAAAGGGAATATTCTGGAAGAGTATGCATCCTTTTCGGAGAATGAAGCACATGTACCAGTGGGGTAACATTTCGCCTGCTTCCTGACAAAGAATAGTTCCTTGACTGACTGACTGACTGACTGACTGAAGAGCTCATCACTGTTTCCATTTCTGACAGATTTGGAAGAGGCGGGATAATGATGAAACCAACCAGGAGGGGGCTTGAATGCCAAGGGCTTCAGCTGAAGATGTTAAGTACAAATATTGAAGCTGTAGCTGAATGTGGACTGACTGGAAGATTCCTGCCGCAGCCCCGTTTTTATGGGTCTGGCGGCATCAGCATCAAAGATCCTGTCTGCCCTGTGTCCTGTGCTGTCTCAGCAGTCCTCTGATCAGCACAGTGCAGGTGATGCTCCTTCCCTTTCAGCGCCAGCAGGCACAACACCTACAGGTGGATGCCTTTCTGAATTGTTGCAAGTATCAAAGAACATCGAGTCTTGAGATCTAAGAATAAACATGCAGCTAATAGCATCCTTCTGTCTATCATAGGTAGATGGTTTTCTATAGTTCCCTTCTCTCCCATGGAACTTTTTGATGGATTAAATATCCTCCTGTTTTTAAACCAGCCTCTTGTTTTATGTACTTCATTTAGACTTGCTAAGAGGTTTATTTTCCTTTTTAACTTGTACATTATCTTCCCTGCAGTCTGTCATCTTGTGGGCATCCTTCTTGTCTCTTCCTGTCAGCCTGTGGGTGGCATGTCACTTGGAGTACATTTGTCTCTAAGTAACAAACTATCTCACTAAAAATGATAAATTGTGCCTAACTAGAAGGCTAAAAGTCTGCAAGCGGGTGATTTCAGACTGTAGTGCCGCTTTGGAGGGCCGAGAAATGGAAGAACCAGAAAGTGTTGTTTGCAGTAGTGCAGTTCTGAAGTCTCAGCCAGACTGATGGGAGCCCAAAGTAGAGGGTGACTGGCCAGGAATTGGGCCACTCATTGATTCCATAACCTGGAGGATTTGAGCCTTGGCAGGAGCACTGAAGCAGGCCTAAGATGTGGGAAAGCCCCACCCCCCATGGGGTTTTGCTCTGTAGCCCAGGTGGCCTCTCACTTACTGTTCTGTCCCTACCTCTAGAGTGCTGGGATTACAGCCCCTCCCCCCTTCAGCAGTTCTGAGCCTGGATGCGTCTGCAGCTGTGGCCCATATGTTTTGCTTTGGTGTGTTGCTTTATGGCTGATAGAAGTTGGAAATTCTTGAGACTAGGATCCCTCCTCTCACTGTTCACCTCGTCCCCAGGCCATTCCAGCTATGCCTGTGACTATGCTTGCCACTCTTAGGGAGGACATGCTTCATAAGCAAGTCCTAACACCACACGTCCCTGAACTCTTGATCTTAAAGCCATATGCCTATTTGATTTGTTTTTGGATGTCTTAAAATCAGTTCAAACTTAATTGGGAATGTAGCTCAGTTGGTAGAATACTTGGCTGGCATTCATGGAACCCTGGGTTTGATCTGTACCACCACGTAAACCAGTCGTGGAGGCATGTGTCTGTACATGGAAGATGTAGGCAGGATAATCATGAGTTCAAGGTCATTCTTAGCTACATGAGATCCCATCTCAAACAAAAACCCTGATGATTTTTTTTAGGAGTCATCCTTTCATTTTCTTTTGGGGTGTGTGTGTGTGTGTGTGTGTCTGTCTGTCTGTCTGTCTGTCTGAGGAGAATGTCAGATGTCCCCCCTCAGAGACAAGAACGAATCTAGAACTAGTCTTTGGACCAGCAAGCCCCACTGATCCTCCTGCCTTTACCTGGAAACAGTGGTTTATAGGTGAGCTTGTGTCCACAGAAACTCACTCTTGATGCTTGTGGGGCAGGAAGTCTTTCCCACTGAGCATCTCTCTAGCCCTGTGAGTCATCCATTTTTCCCTCCAATTTGCTTATCCTGTTACCAAGCCTTGTTTATTTTCTTTTGTGTTTCTATCTCTGCCTCTCCCTCCTCCCCACCTCCCTCCCTCCCTTTTCTTCTTTCTCTCCCTCTCTCAGTTGGGCTAGTGAAATGTTTTGGAGGGAAAAGGTGCATGCTGCCAAGCCTGAGGACCTGAATTCAGTTCTTGGGCCCTGCATGGAAGAAGAGAACTGACTCCTGCAAATTGTCCCACCCCTCCACAGAATGTTATTTTCAGGGTCTTACGGTTTTGGTTTGAGACAGGGTTTCTGACCTGGAACTCATTCTGTAGACCAGTCTGGCCTCAGACTCAGAGGACTGCCTCTTCTTCACTCCTGGGTGCTGGGACTGAAGTCATGCACCACTGCCTAGCTATTTTCAGGTTACATTTATGCAGTTGTATATGTGTTTGTGTGCACATGCCACAGCATGTGTGTGAAGGTCAGAGGACAACTTGCACCAATTTGTTCTCCTTATCATGTGGGTCCCTGGGTTGGAAATCAAGTCCTCAGGCTTGGTAACCTGAGCCTTTACATGCTGAGCTCAGAACTGATCTTTGAGACAGGTCTCGGCAGATCATCCGTCCCTCTCACTACCATCCACCCAGGCAGTTCTTTGTCTTCCAAGGTAAAGATTGAAGTATTTTGCTGCTAGCCTCACTTCCAAGGACATTTGTGACCTTAGGACACAAAGCGTCAGGTGTTGATAAGTAATGGTGGGGGGTGCCTGTTTTTGTTTATTTTGGGAGACGGGGTCTCACTTTGTAGCCCTGGCTGGCATGGAACTCACTATGTAGACTAGGCTGGCCTTAAAAAACTCACAACAATCCATCTGCCTCTGCTTCTCAAATGCTAGAACTAAAGACATGTGCCACCACACCTAACCTGCTTTATTTTATTGAGTCAGGTCTCACTTTGTAGCCCTGGCTGGCCCAGAACATGCTATATGTATATAGTTCAGGCTAGCCTCACATTTTCAGCAGTCTTCTCCCCCAGCCTCCTGAATGCTGGGATTACAGGCGTGTGTCACTATGCCTGGCCCTCAAACTTTAAGTTGGGAACGATAAGATGTTTCTTTTGTCCCAGCCCTGGGGAGAGGCTTGGCACTTATGAAGCACTCAATGTTTCTGGATCAGATTCACCTGTACTACATTCTTGGTGCTGTCCTGCATGGGTAATTTTTGTTGCTTACTTTCCCAAGAAGGTGGCAATAGAATCACCTAAGCACTTGGGGTCCATTTATCAGAGTCGGCTGTTCAGTGGTCTAAGGCAGTGGTTCTCGACCCCTTTGGGAGGTTGCCCTTTCATAGGCGTCGCCTATGACCATTGGAAAACAGATGTTTACATTATGATTCATAACAGTATAGCTACATTTATGAATTAGCAGCAAAATAATTTTATGATTGGGGTCACCACAACATGAAGAACTGTATTAAAGGGACACAGCATTGGGAAGGTTGAGAACCACTGGCCTAAGATCTGTTGTGGCTTGCTACTAACCATGGATGTCTGGACAGGTACATGCCTTTTGTATGTCAGTCATGATCCCAGCATGCAGCTCCTTTTCACAGACCCAGAGTATGAACCATGGTGAGGAAGGGAAAGTCATGCTTTCTTAGCATGACCCTACAGCCGGCTTGAGAGACATGGAAAACATTCTACACTGAAGATACATGACAGGAAAAATAACATAGGATAGTAAATAATGAGTATTCCCAGCAGATCTTTACTGTTAATATAATAAGATCCGTAGATATGGCAGTGTGTAAAAGCACTTGCAGCACCCACCTGGTGTCCCAAGTCCAATCCCTAGACCCTATGTAAAGGTGTATGGAGAGAAGTTACCTCCACAGTGTCCTTTGAGCTTCACACACACACCTACACACATGTGCACATAGAAAACATTTGTTTTTCTTATTTTTGTTTGTAGCTATCTGTGTGTGGGTTTGTGCATGTGAGTGCAGGTGGCCTCATAGGCCAGAGGGATCTGGAACACCTGGAGCTGGAGTTACAAGCAGTTGTAAGCCACCTGATGCAGGTGCTGGGAATTGAACTCTGGAATTGCACTCTGGAAGTTCAGTGCATGCTCTTAACCTCAGAGCTATCTCTCTAGCCCAAATAACTTTTTAAAAATAAGTAAAAGAATAACAAAATCAGGCAGAATGCTCAAACATATTCCACAAAGGATAAAATATGAACAACCTGTAAACATGTAATCAAAGATGAAGAGCTGGCTTGTTGATTAAGAGTGTTTTCTGCTCTTCAGGGGGCCAGGGTTCCATTCCCAGCTCTTATATGACAGCTTAAACCTTCTATAACTCCATTTCCAAGGCATCCAATGCCCTCTTCAGGCCTTTGAAGGCACCAGACAGACACATGTACAGTCAACATTCATGCAGGCAGAATACTTGTGCATAAAATAAAAAAATAAAATGTTAATTACAAGAGGGCCTTGTGTATGTAATGTGCAGTGCACATGTGGGGGTCAAAGAACTAAAAGTTGGTGCTCTCCTTCGTCATGTGGACCATGGGGATCAAGCTGAGTGTGACCTTGAACTTCTTATCCTCCCTCTACCTTCCACGTGTTGAGACTACAGGCCATCACATCTGGTTATGCAGTGCTGGGAACTGAACTCAGGGCTTGGCAGCCTCTACAGAATGAACTACATAACCAACCAACCAACCAGTCAGCCTGCCTCCCTCTTCCAGACAGGGTCTTACTCTAGCTTAGTCTGCCCTAAAATTGATTGTGTAACCCAGGCTGAAGTATAGGGGTTATAGACATGAACCACCGTGCAGGATCAGGAAGCCATTTTTCATTTGTCTTTCAGTAAAAATGTGAAGGGTTGCTAATCCTCAGACTTACAGAAAATGGAAGAGGCACTTCCAGTTGGGCTGGAAATTGGTAAAGCGTGGGCAGAGCACCAACTCAACAGGAAGCATGTGTTAAAAGTACAAACATGCAGATGTGCAGACCTTTGTCCCACAAAAATGCATCTTGAAACTGATTCTAAGGAAGTGATCAGGACTTATAAACAGATGTAGGAAGATATAACTGGGAAGACAGCCCTCTCCATTACAGACCTTGATATGCAGGCCAGGCTGGACTGCTTCCCGAGCGCCAAGATCACAGCTGTGTATAGTATAGTCATGCCCAAAGAGGGTATCAGAGCCTCTGAAACTATTGTTGTAGATGGTAGTGAGCTGCCATGTGGGTACTGGGAATCAAACCCAGGTCCCAGTGAGAAAAGTTCTCTAAGCTGCTGAGCTATCTCTCCAGCCTCTTATTTGCTTACTTTGATGTCCGGAACCTTCAGCTCACCTTAAGTAAGCTTGGGGGGTGAGGGCAGCAGGAGGGAGACCAGGCTGGCGGGGAGCAGATGTAGACTTGTGCTCCGTAAGAGGTAGGCCCTGGCCCTGCTGACATCAGGCTGAGACTGATTCCTGCCGTCCCTTAAAAGATACTGTTTTCTTATTTTGCACAAGGGAACAGGACTTTCATTAGCTGTGGCTCAGGCATTGTGTCAACATGGGAACTAGTCCTTGGTATGCACAGTCCTAACTGATCTTAGATACTCATGGCAGATATGGAATCACCCTCAGGTTTGTAAATTTAAAAAAGTCAGGAGAGGGTTGGAGAGATGATGACTCAGAGGTTAAGAGCACTGGTTGCTCTT